TTTCTCCCTTTCACCTGAAAACACTCCCTAAAGTATTGCAATAACCACAGAAAATGTGTACCACATGCATCTGGGTGCATTTCACCTCTTCTCTTATACTATAAGGTCCTTGAGAGTAGCTTCTTGACTAACTCATTTTTGTGTTCCCTAAATGCTAACACAAAACTCTGCAAATATCAATAAATATTTATACCAGTATACTCAGAAAATCTTATTACAACAAAGTATTCTATGTAAGAATCCAATTGTGTTCCCGATAGGTTGTTCATAATAACAACATTCTCTTGATCTAGGTATCTAGTTATTGAGTCTTCCTGTAAATAAGCCTATACGACAATGAAATATTTCTGTTCTCTGGCTGAGTCCATACAAAATTCAATTAACCAGAACCCCAACTAACCAGAACCTCTTACTTAGCAGATGTTTATCCTGCAACCAACTCTTAAAAAGTCAATCACAAAAACAAAAGTATGTCTTTACTAAAAATAATTTTGTATCATTTCTACATTGGCCTAAAACTATACATTTGATGGTTTTATGATGGTTATGTAATTGTTTTAAATGATTATTCGTATTTTAAATAATGGCCTAAACAGCTCCCAAACGCTCAAATTATTTTTAAAAATTCTTATATTTGATAAAGAAGAAAAGTAGATTAACATAGTATTGTTCAGAAAATTTTTAAATAGTTAAAGATGAAGACAAAATAGGTCTTTTTAAAGTTTTACTTATTTATTCATGAAAAAACACACAGAGAGGCAGAGACATAAGCAGAAGGAGAAGCAGGCTCCCTGCAGGGAGCCTGATGCAGGACTTGATCCAGGACCTGAGAATAACGCCCTGAGCCCAAGGCAGACGCTCAACCACTGAGCCACCCAGGCACCCCCAAAATAGGTCTTTTGATCAGCCTTTAAGTTAGCAAAAATGTTCAATTAACCACGGACATTAACAGACTCTGGGCGAATCTTCTGTTCAATACAGAATGAGTGACATTCCTTTTCCCTGGGGACAGATGAAAAACTCAGAAATACTTTAACAATTCACCTTATCAAAACCTTCAGATAACCAACGTTATTTTCCCTTCTTGCCCCTTTCTTCCCCCATCAACTCTGGTTCAACTCTCCAAGCTCCTCTCCTCTACCTCACTTTGGTGACCACCTTTCTGCCTGTTCCTCATCTTATCCTGCTTACCCCTACACCCCCACCCTTAAGAATTCCCCCAAACCTGGGCACCTGGGTGGGTTAGTTGGTTAAGCATCCAACTCCAGATTTTAACTCAGGTCGTGATCTCAGGGTCGAGAGATTGAGCCCCACATCAGGCTCCACACTGGGGTGTAGAGTCTGTTTAAGATTCTTTCTCCCGGGGCAGCCAGGGTGGCTCAGCGGTTTAGCGCCGCCTTCAGCCCAGGGCCTGACCCTGGAAACCCGTGATCAAGTCCCATGTAGGGCTCCCTGCATGGAGCCTGCTTCTCCCTCTGCCTATGTCTCTGCCTCTCTCTCTCTTTGACGGATAAATAAATAAACAAAATCTTTAAAAAATAATTTAAAAAAAAAGATTCTTTCTCCTGGGATGCCTGGGTGGCTCAGCGGTTGAGCATCTGCCTTTGGCTCAGGGCATGATCCTCGATCAGGGGATCGAGTCCCACGAGCCCTGTGGGGAGCCTGCTTCTCCCTCTACCTGTGTCTATGTCTTTCTGTGTTTCTCATGAATAAATAAATAGAATCTTAAAAAAAAAAAAGATTCTCTTTCTCCCACTGCACTGCCACCCCTCCCCCACTCTCTTTCTCTTAAAAAAAAAAAAAAGGAAATAAATCCCCCACAACCCACTTCGATTCTACTCCTGCCTGATCAAACCCTAGTTCAGTGCATTACTCTGGCTTATCAAACATTTTATTTATTTTTTTCTAAAGATTTTTTGTTTGGCAGAGAGAGAGAGAGAGAGAAAGAGAGAGAGAGAGAGAAACTTGCACAAGCAGGGGGAGTGGGAGAGGGAGAGAGAGGAGAAGCAGACTCCCAACTGAGCAAGGAGCTTGACACAAGGCTCAATCCTAGGACCCTTGGGGTCATGACCTGAGCCGAAGGCAACTGAGCCACTCAGGTGCCTCCTATCAACCATTTTAAATACACAGATACTTTTGTAACCAATTCCACTCAGCAGCCTCTAATGCCAGGAGAATTTAATATGAAGCTCAAATGATCTATGCAGGTGGTAATGTATGGCATAAATATACAGTTACCTTGTTTTGCTTAAAAAAAAGCAAAATAATCCCCCCCCCCCCCGCAAAATAATTTTGAACTTAGAACTAACTACTCAGAAGAAGCTGATGATTATTCTGATAGTATTTATGTAAGCTGTGGGAAGTCATTTAAAAATAATTTTGAAATAATTATATCTGAAGATAGGTTGTCAATGTCTCTTATTTACTGAGTACCTATGTGTAAAAATCATTGTGCAGTGACTGTCAGGATACAAAGGTGAATGAATATGGACATAAATAACCATAATTAAAGGCAGAAAATATAACCAAGATTGGGAGAGGTGCAGAATGAGTGCTGTAAAACAAATGATATTATATCCAGCTGTAAAAGTTGATCAAATGATATCTGGTTGGGCCAGGTACTGCAGCAGATAGTTATTGGTGGGGGGGAGCAAAGAAGTGATATTAAGGAGGACCATATAGGAGCTAAGCCCTACATGCTGAACAGAGGATTTTATTTTTTCTTATTTATTTTTCTTTTAAAGATTTATTTATTTATTCATATGAGAGACACAGAAAGAGAGAGAAGCAGAGACATAGGCAGAGGGAAAAGGAGGCTCCATCCTGGGATCACGCCCTGAGCCAAAGGCAGATGCTCAACCGCTGAGCCACCCAGGCATCCCGTGAACAGAGGATTTTAGACAAACTCATAAAGGAGGGAACTGAAGCCACATTGGAATTGAAGTTGAGAGGAAAAAGGTGTACAGAGATAAAGGAGAAGAGGGCCAAAAACAGTTAAGAAGAAATATCTACATTTACTTTTTTTTAGGATTTTATTTATTTAGAGAGAGAGAAGGAGGGAGAGGGAGAGAAAGCCTGTGCATGTGAGCAGGGGGAGGGGAAGAGGGAGAGAGAATCTCAAGAAGACTCCGCATTAAGCGAGGAGCCTGACATGGGGCTCGACTTCACAACCCTGAGATCATGACCGAAGTTGAAATAAAAAATTGGATACTTAAATGACTGAGCCACTCAGGCTCCCCAGAAATACCTACATTTTTAATTTTTTTAAAAAGATTTTATTTATCTGAGAGAGAGAGAGAGAGCACAAGTGGGGACAGGGGCAGAGGGAGAATCAGACTCTCCACTGAGCAGGGAGCCCGACATGGGACTCGATCCCAGGACCCTAGGATCACGACCTGAGCTGAAGGCAGACTCTCAACTGACTGAGCCACCCAGGCATCCCGGAATACCCACATTTAGAGAGAGTTCAAGTTCTTGAAACTGCTCAGGAAGAAATGAGAGCACTACTGAGCATATATATATATTCTTTTAGGAAGGGCAGATGGGAACATAAACCCTTTATCAATCAAAACCAAAGGAATAAATTATTCAATATGTCAAGTTATATATGTGTCAGTAGAAAACACCGGCTAGCTATCACTAAAAGACAAGATAAAGTATTGCCAGCTATTACCTCCAATCTAAAATGATCCTGAATTTTAGGACCCATTTCTTTTTTTTTTAATATTTTATTTATTTATTCATGATAGACATAGGGAGAGAGGGGAGGGCAGAGACACAGGCAGAGGGAGAAGCAGGCTCCATGCCAGGAGTCCGACGCATGACTCGATCCCGGGACTCCAGGATCGCCCCCTGGGCAGAAGGCAGGCGCTAAACCATTGAGCCACCCAGGGATCCCCTTAGGACCCATTTCTTTTTTTTTCTTTTTTTTTTTTTAATTTATTATTTATTTATGATAGGCACACAGTGAGAGAGAGAGAGGCAGAGACACAGGCAGAGGGAGAAGCAGGCTCCGTGCACCGGGAGCCCGACGTGGGATTCGATCCCGGGTCTCCAGGATCGCGCCCCGGGCCAAAGGCAGGCGCCAAACCGCTGCGCCACCCAGGGATCCCTTAGGACCCATTTCTAAACAAGGAATGATTAGGTAAGGAGTCTGCTTAGTTAAGTCACCTAATACACATGACCGAAACGGTCTTAATGGAGACCTGCACACGTTGAACTAAAAGATTTACTGGGAAGTTCCATTAAGCAGAACAGAAATATGACCAACAAAATTTCCTAAGTAAGTTTTTCCATAAGACTTCAAGGAAGGAAAAACTTCTGGTCAATCCAGCACATCTAGCCTGCTGACCTCTAAGGAGTCTTACATCATTCCTGAATCCCAACGGTTTAGGACAGTACCTGGTACTTAGGCTTCCTATAAATATTTTATGAATGAGAAAAAAAATGGAGAAAGAAGGACCTAAGAACCATTATTTCAGATCTACATAGTATAATTTATGTCCTGGAGTCAGTATACAATTATACTATTCAATGTGCTCAGGCCCAAAGTTTCAAATTACATCGCTTGGAGCCTGTCAATCATCAGAAAAAGACTGAGCTATATTTATGACACTATACCCTCTAAGGTTAGGGGCAGATAATGTACATATAGATACTTTTAAATAATTTTAATACATATTAAAACTAAAAAGGTTTTTTCACTGAGTCCTAAAACTAATGAACTAGAATATATCTTATTCTTTGAACATCTCACTGGGTTAATATATTTAACTATATACTGCGTTCCAAAAACTCTAAATCTGGCCATTTTTTTTTTAAGTAAGCTCTACACACAATGTGGGCCTTGAACTCACAACCCTGAGATCAAGAGTCCCATGCTCTACTGACTGAGCCAGCCAGATGCCCCCCTCGCAATTTTCATATGGAAGAAATGCGATTGCTTAATAAACTTTAACAGTGTGATGACTTAAATCAAGCAGGAAGATGACTCTTGATACCTTTATGGTTTCAGTGGGCACTCCCGGCTCTGGGACTTTATCCAAATAAGTGGTCAAGTCTTGATCAACATGTTCAAACACTAATGTTAGTTTCGTTTCTCTGTCTGTTCGTGACACTGTGCATACATCAAACAATCTAAAAGAAAAAAGAAAAGAGACATTAAGTATATAGCAATAAGCGAAGAAGTTAACTTGTATGTCTTAACACATATCCGGCAATTCGATCATACAATGAGAAAAAAAATACCAGTGTTGATCATTCCTTGTGATAATATGGAAGGATGCCTAATGGGGTTTGATATTTTAATAGCAATATGAGATTCAGGAGAGAAGCATTTGGGTAAATAATGACAAAATCCACAGTGGCAAAGAGAAAACAACAAGACCAGCATAAGAATGTCTGCCTGGAGAGTTTCCTTAGTTAAGAACTTACATACAACTATTTGCCAACGGAGATAGTTTAAAAAACTGCAGCCTAGGAAAAATATGGTTCTTCTTTGCACACAGTTCAAGAATTATTAGAGACCAATTAAGCATTCTTTGGAGATGCTGGACTCCACAATGAAGATTTTCCTGGATTTTTTTTTTGAGGATTTTATTTATTTTATCATGAGAGACACACAGAGGCAGAGATATAGACAGAAGGAGAAGCAGGCTCCCTGCAGAGAGCCTAATGGGGGACTCGATCCCTGGACCCCGGGATGATGCTTTGAGCCAAAGGTAGATGCTCAACCACTGAGCCACCCATGCATCCTGATTTTCCTGGAATTTAAGGTGTTACAAACATGCCTGTGAAAATAAAGATGGTGAAATACAGAGAAATTTGGTTTATTTCTAAGAGAGACTTCTCATCCTGGAAAGGGCAAAATTTCTTGGTTTAAAAATTCCAAATATCATGCTAATTAAAATGGAAACTTCAACATTTTGGGGGGAGAGAGGTGGCATTTGAAACTGCATTAGTCAGCTACATCACCCTTAAGTGATAAAGACAGATTAGATTAACAAACTTTATAATTAAATTGGGATGAGCAGAAGCTAATAATCTTCCACAAAATTCTACAACTAATTCAAAATTCAAGTTTTAAAAGCAAAGCCTTCAGGAATCAGAAGCATTTTCAAGCCCAAGGACAAATTTTTCCTTACTTTCAATCACACACAGCACACTACCCGGCACGAGATGCTTACCACATGTTTGAGTAATTAAACCATCCCTAAAAAAGCTGTAAGTAAATCTGACAAGAATGTAATATAAATACTAAGCAATGGCTAATAAAATGCTATTCACAGTCTTTTTTTTTTCATTTTTAAAAACTGAATAAACACTCATTTAAAAGAAACTATTGATAAATGTGCATAAAAACACATCACTAAAATGCAGCGCTCTCAATTATGTACTTTGTATATTGACCTCTGTTGAATTTTTAATGTCAAATTGGTTCACCATGCCACCCTACTGCATTTCTGGGCTAAATGGGGCCCCACAATATTGGGTACTTCTCTGTAAATCTAAACTAAACTTTAAAATAAACTAAAGAACATTATAATTAAGTTAAATCTGTTGGGATGAACACCACCACCACTAACCTCACATACTTCACAGCCAGATCCATGCTACTTTTTAATTATGGGCAGTCTGGGATGAGTTCTACAACTCCACTAAAATCAATTAAGACCAGCTGAGTTTCTTCTTGTATTTCCTTCGAAATATTCTGATTTCTAAGTTTTAAAGATTTTATTTTTATTTATTTGAGAGAGAGAGAGTGCACATGCTCACATGTGCCTCTGAGCAGGGGGAGGTGGCAAAGGGGGACGAAGAAAGAACCTAAAGCAGACTCCATGTTGAGCCCAACTGGGGTTAGATCCCAGCTGAAACCAGAGTTGGAAGCCCAACTGACTGAGCCACCCAGGTGCCCCGATTTATAAGTTTAATCATTTACTTCAAAACTGGATTTTTTTTTTTGAAATTTCAAAGTCTTCTGATGACACTAATGTGACTTACTCTGGAAAATTACTCTGATAAAATAAAAACTCCTAATAAATTCATTAAAGATAATGCCATTAATCATATGAGTGTCATGCTATGACAAATATGATTACTATCATGCATGAATTTGATGCCTGGATGTTTATCAAAACAACTCTTTCAGTTTGGTAAAGTGAGGCAATTACCACTTATTCATGGGCTTCTTTGAACCACCCTCTTTCCATTAAAAAAACCCACACACTCTGCCAGCTTCACTGCTTTCTTCCTCTTGAAGAGTTCCACAATCACCAAGCTTCTTTCTACAGGTTACTTCTATTTTTGTAATGAAATAAAACAGCAGTGAATCATAAATGACATATACTAAATTCAAATACAAACATGGGAACTGCACCATTACAGTTGTGCTTCTTTAACATTGCTTTTAGGGGGCAAGATGGCGGAAGAGCAGGGTCCCCAGGTCACCTGTCCCCACCAAATTACCTAGATAACCTTCAAACCATCCTGAAAATTTACGAATTCGGCCTGAGATGTAAAGAGAGACCAGCTGGAACGCTAAGGTGAGAAGAGTTCGCGCTTCTATCAAGGTAGGAAGACGGGGAAAAAGAAATAAAGGAACAAAAGGCCTCCGAGGGGGAGGGGCCCCGCGAGGAGCCGGGCTGAGGCCGGGGCGAGTGTCCCCAGGACAGGAGAGCCCCGTCCCGGAGGAGCAGGAGCTGCACCAACCTTCCCGGGCGGAAAGGGGCTCGCAGGGAGTTGGAGCAGGACCCAGGAGGGCGGGGATGCCCTCGGGCTCCCGGGGACACTAACAGACACCTGCGACCCGGGAGAGTGCTCCGAGCTCCCTAAGGGCTGCAGCGCGCACGGCGGGACCGGAGGGACCGGAGCAGCTCGGAGGGGCTCGGGAGCGGCTCCACGGAGGGGGCTGCGGGGCGGGAGTGCGAATCCCACAGCGCAGGCCCCGGAGCACAGGGCGCCGGGACACAGCCCAGGATCCGGCCTCCCCCTGGGACAGGCAGAGGCCGGGAGGGCCCGAGACAGCGAAGACGCTCCTGCCCCGAGCTGAGCAGATCAGCGGCCCCGCCCCGGAGCCTCCAGGCCCTGCGGACGGAGAGCCGAGAGCCCCGAGCCCCGTAGTTCCTGCGGAGGCTGAATCCAGGCTTCCAGAGTTGCCATAGCAACTGCGACTGTTCCTCCTGGGGCCTGACGGGGTAAACAACCCCCGCTGAGCCCTGCAGCAGGCAGGGGCAGAGCAGCTCCCCCAAGTGCTAACACCTGAAAATCAGCGCAACAGGCCCCTCCCCCAGAAGACCAGCTAGAGGGACCAGTGATACTCCCCCGTGTTCCAATACAACTTGTTTTTGGCCACTCTGCACTGAGCAAAATGACTAGAAGGAAAACTTCACTTCAAAAGAAAGAATCAGAAACAGCCCTCTCTCCCACAGAGTTACAAAATCTGGATTACACTTCAATGTCAGAAAGCCAATTCAGAAGCACTATTCTACAGCTACTGGTGGCTCTAGAAAAAAGCATTAAGGCCTCACGAGACTTCATGACTGCAGAATTTAGATCCAATCAGGCAGAAATTAAAAATCAATTGAATGAGATGCAATCCAAACTAGAAGTCCTAACGACGAGGGTTAACGAGGTGGAAGAACGAGTGAGTGACATAGAAGACAAGTTAATGGCAAAGAGGGAAACTGAGGAAAAAAGAGACAATCAATTAAGGGACCATGAAGACAGATTAAGGCAAATAAATGACACTCTAAGGAAGAAAAACCTACGTTTAATTGGGGTTCCCGAGGGCGCCGAAAGGGACAGAGGGCCAGAATATGTATTTGAACAAATCCTAGCTGAAAACTTTCCCAATCTGGGAAGGGAAACAGGCATTCAGATCCAGGAAATAGAGAGATCCCCCCCTAAAATCAATAAAAACCGTTCAACACCTCGACATCTAATAGTGAAGCTTGCAAATTCCAAAGATAAAGAGAAGATCCTTAAAGCAGCAAGAGACAAGAAGTCCCTGACTTTCATGGGGAGGAATATTAGGGTAACAGCAGACCTCTCCACAGAGACCTGGCAGGCCAGAAAGGGCTGGCAGGATATATTCAGGGTCCTAAATGAGAAGAACATGCAACCAAGAATACTTTATCCAGCAAGGCTCTCATTCAAAATGGAAGGAGAGATAAAGAGCTTCCAAGACAGGCAGGAACTGAAAGAATATGTGACCTCCAAACCAGCTCTGCAAGAAATTTTAAGGGGGATTCTTAAAACTCCCCTTTAAGAAGAAGTTCAAGTAACTCTGAACGTGAATGGGCTTAATGACCCCATCAAAAGGCGCAGAGTTTCAGACTGGATAAAAAAACAGGACCCATCTATTTGCTGTCTACAAGAGACTCATTTTAGACAGAAGGACACCTACAACCTGAAAATAAAAGGTTGGAGAACCATTTACCATTCAAATGGTTCTCAAAATATACCCTAAAAACTACAGAACACTTCTGAAAGAAATTGAGGAAGACACAAAGAGATGGAAAAATATTCCATGCTCATGGATTGGCAGAGTTAATATTGTGAAAATGTCAATGTTACCCAGGGCAATTTACACGTTTAATGCAATCCCTATCAAAATACCATGGACTTTCTTCAGAGACTTAGAACAAATTATTTTAAGATTTGTGTGGAATCAGAAAGACCCCAAACAGCCAGGGGAATTTTAAAAAAAGAAAACCATATCTGGGGGCATCACAATGCCAGATTTCAGGTTGTACTACAAAGCTGTGTTCATCAAGACAGTGGCACAAAAACAGACATATAGATCAATGGAACAGAACAGAGAACCCAGAAGTGGACCCTGAACTTTATGCTCAACTAATATATGATAAAGGAGGAAAGACGATCCACTAGAAGAAAGACAGTCTCTTCAATAAATGGTGCTGGGAAAATTGGACATCCACATGCAGAAGAATGAAACTGGACCACTCTCTTGCACCATACACAAAGATAAACTCAAAATAGATGAAAGATCTAAATGTGAGACAAGATTCCATCAAAATCCCAGAGAAGAACTCAGGCAACACCCTTTTTGAACTTGGCCACAGTAACCGGAGAAGGACAAACAGTGTATGTTCTCATTCATTTGGGGAATATGAATA